ATTATATATAATATATAATTATATACAATCATATATAATTATATATAATTATATATGGACATATTTTATATATAATTATATATAAAAAAATTTTTCCCGGGTATATATATATTTTTTTCCTTATATTACAATTCCGCGAGCTCTCCTAATGATATAATAAATATTTATGTAATTGAATACTTACATGCATCGTAATCGTGTCGCTTGTCGCCGACGCCGCCGTCGTTGTCGCCAACGTTGTCATCGTTGATTTCTGAAAAAAAACAAAGGAAATTAAATAATTTACAAGAGCTACTAATTATAAATGCTATGTATAAACTATATAATCAAAAAAGTAATCTCTTGAAAATATATTTCATACGTAGCTGTATACCTACATCTTGATCCGACTGGGGCGAGCGTTGAACATCAAATGTTCCTTTCCTATACTCGCGAGCCCGGACACGCAAGCATTTTTCTCCCTGCACTTACGCACACAGAGACGTTCCGTTTATCCGTGTGACAGCGGTCGTCACTGACAATCGTCAGCTAACAAGGAGACTGTCCAAAAGCGCCGCCTTAGATTTTGCTAATCTTTATATATGTTGTAGTAATCTCTTTCCTGTAAAAGCAGCTCGTATAACTGTTGCCAATGAGCACTAATTTACGAGAAACCGCAGTTGAAAGTTTTCCGTGCGTTTAGAGTACCGTTTAAGTAGGAGCGAAGCTCAAGTAGCTAGCGTGGCGCAGCGAGTAGGGAGCGGGACTAGAACGTTCAACGTCGTGCGTTTGATTCCGGCTTGCTCCAGCTTTTTTTTCATTATTCTGAAATATGAAATGAAATAAATTAATATATGAATTAGCCAACTATCATCCCAGCATTATTGTCATCCGCATTTTTTAAATAGAATTGTACGAAAAGAAAGTTTGTAAATTGTCAAACACATTTTATTAATGTTAAAAACATTACAGTAATGTAGAAAACATGACAGATCGCAGGTACGTTACGTATCGCTCTCTGATTGTTGTACAGCAGCATCTACAGCAGCTTTACAAGTCGCTGGATGATAAACATTATAAAAACATTGAAAGTAAAGAGGCGTATTACACCAAACGCATTTTATGAACGCAACCTCTTTACAACTGCACTGTTTTTTTAGCGTTGTTCAAGAGAAGCGAATGATAATAATACTGGGATGATAAATACTGGGTAGACAATTGGCTAAGTCATATATTAATAATGTATTTTATTTCATATTTCAGAAAAATGAAAAAAAAAGTTGGAGCAAGCCGCAATCGAACGCATGACATCGAGTGCTCTAGCCGCGCTTCCTACTCGCTGCGCCACGCTGGCTGCTTGAATTTCCCTCGTACTTAAGCGGTACTCTATGCGCGCGGAAAACTTTCAACTCCGATTTCTTGTAAACTAGTGCTTATTAGCAACAGTTATACGAGCTGCTTTTACAGGAAAGAGATTACTACAACATATATAAAGATTAGCCAAATCTAAGGCGGCACTTCTGGACAGTCCACTTGTTAATCGATTCGGCTACGCCGCTTAGCTGACAGCAAACGTTTACTTACATAATTTATATCTGATTAGTATAGTTATATACAATTCTTTTCATGCAAAACATATCAGAATATATTACATTTTATTTCTTTTATTCTAATAACATTTGTCTATATTTCTCCTTTCAATTATACGACTAAAGTCATTAAGATTATTTTAACTTTTTCTCCTATAGATTTTTGCACTTATTTCTAAAGAAATAGAATGAAAATTGTTGTAAAAGTTTATACAAACGAGTTAAAGAACTGCTTTCTACAACAAGACGTTTCAAATTTTCAGTAGACTTTATGAGCGTTCAATCGTGGTTGCTAGCCGCTTTGAAACATAAGAGCGATGGTATTCCCACGCGTCGCGGGTCGCGACAGTTTTATCGGCGAGAATCATCAGTAGTCGCGGATGAGCGTTCACATTCACTTCTGCGGTGCTTTGTGATCTGTGCACTACGGATGTCTTTTCGTTTGTACGCGAAAATTGAGTGTTTTTCTTTGCGAGCCCGCGAGATCTCTGTGCTTTGCAACACGTATTTTCTGTTAGTGTTTCTTATTTCTAAAAACATTGTTTACAGATTGCGAACGTAAACATCGCGCGCGCTTGCACGTTGAGTCGCGTCTATTCTTATATCTTTTTGTTTCTTTTTCTTTCCTTTCACGTGTTGTGAGCTTTTTTATTAAATATTTGTACATTGTACAACGCAGTACATATCAAAACAAAAGTACCATGTCGATTCAGTGCCGTGCAATTCGTTATTCGGATACGTGTGTGTACAAAGGCTGCAGTAATGGGAAATCTAATGGAAAGCGTCTATTCAGATTTCCCAAGTTGAAGGACGCAAGATGCTATCAATGGATACGCAATACAGGTCGGTCTCTACAGAAAAACTTCATTTTACTGTTTCGTATATTGCATTTTTTGCTTATTTTTCGCCACCCACAAAACATATCAAGATTCATGATTCAAAGAGCGCTATCTGCTCCACAATTTATCTAATTGGAATTGATGGTTTATAATTATGCGATTAGTACCGGTTCATTAGGTGAGGCATGGAAACGCGCGTACGATTCGGCGTTACTGATAACCTCATACATGCCGCCAGCAAGTTTTGCTTATTTTCGGCAAGTACAAAAGATATCGATATCATTCAAAAACAATTACCATTCCCATAGTCTATTCTATTGGAATTATTTATCCTATTTATCCTATTGAAATTGACAGTTTATAATAATACAATTAATAGCGGTACATTAAATATAGCGTACAAGCGCGCGTACGTTGTGACGTCGTTGACAGCCTTTTTACTGCCAATTGCATTTTTGCTCAATTATCGGCAACCACTAAAGATATCAATGTGATTTAAAGAGCACTATCCGCTCCACAATTTATCTTATTGAAATTGGTAATTTATAATAATACGAATAATCCCGGTTTATTAAGTAAGGCGTGGAAGCGCGCATACGTTTCAACGTCACTGACAAGTTCATACATGCCGCCAGGATGTTTTGCTTATTTGTTGGTAACTACAAAAGATATCGATGTCGTTCAAAAAGTATTAACATGTTTATTATACCCACAGTTTATTACTGGAATTATACGTATATATATTATATAATATTACGATTAAGACGGGTTCCTTACATAAAGCGTTGAAGCACGCGTATGTTTCGACGTACGTAGCCTACAAGTTTATGCCGCTTAGATTTTTTTTT